ATATATATATATATATATATATATATATATATATATATATTGTTATTGTTATTGTTATTTACAAAATGCACACTAATGTTCTTGGGTTGGTAAGATCTTATTGCCAAGAATTGCAGTAAAAATGCATTCTTGTTGAATAAAAATCTTAATTTATTTCATTTTAGTCATTTATTAGTATAAGATTTTATAGTCATTTATTCTACTACTAAAAATATCAATGATTTATTGTTGATAAAACCTCCATAAACAAACAAATGAGAATTAAACTGTTTAAATGGGATGATCTCCCTAACAAAGAAAGTTCCTTTCTTGAAGATGGTGATTATATTTTGTTTTGGATTCTTGTCTTATCATGATCACAATCTGTGTATGCTCAATACCTCTATTTCCATCACTGAAGATGACTGCATGTACGTACATATCATTTTCAAACAGGTGTGCTTTCTGCTTGAAATGACATGACGTGATGTATGGAATCTCCCAAGTGGTCAATAACATGGGCAGAAGCTTGTGACCTTTGCCTTGCCAGCCCCCTGCATTTTCTTCTCTAAATGCTTCAAGGTGCCTTGTGAACTCAGGGGACTTCATGCATCAGTTTAGAGTACACACGGTATGTGTATGTGTGTGTGTTTGTCTGTGAATGGCATGGAGGACCAAGGTCTAGAAGGGAAATAACAAGGCTTTGGACTCTGTGCAACCTTTACTTATACAGAGCCGGAACCTTTAAGAGTCAAAACAGCATGGAAAAATCACAGTGGGGAGATGCAGTAATTTCAAAGCTACCATAAACAACATGTTCTTGTTTGTAGATACTGGCCAGGTTTTAACACAGAATTGACATTAACCCTTAAACTGAGAATCCTGTACCTAATTTGGTGTTCCTGGTCAAAAATCACTGCCCTTTTAAAATGTGGGTTACACTTTACTTGAAGGGGTGTGCATAAGACTGACATGACACCTACATAATCATGACATGACACATGTCATGAATATGAAGGTTTTTTATGCATGTTTATGACAACTGTCATTAAGTGTCATTCGCTCAGTTATGTCATTTTTAATGCAAAGATGACATTGTTTGAGATGTCTTTGTTATGGGCTATGGTTAGGGGTAAGGGTAGGGGTAGGGTTAGGTTAGGGTTAGGTCAAATAATGTCATATTTGCATTAAAAATGACATAACTGAGCGAATGACACTTAATGACAGTTGTCATAAACATGCATAAAACCTCCTTAATATTCATGACATGTGTCATGTCATGATTATGAAGATGTCATGTCAGTCTTATGCACACCCCTTCAAGTAAAGTGTTACCAAAATGTGTTTGTAAATCTCTCATTGTGCTATATTATCACTATCTTTTCAATAGCACAAGTTTTGTATTTATTTTTGGAACTTAGGCCTCAATTATCTGAACTTATACGCCTCAATTTGTGAGTAAAAATATATATATAATTTTGGCAATGTTCACTCAAAAACTGAGTTGCATAAGCTCAGATCAACAAAAAAGATTGCATCTCATTTTTGGTAATAATATAGCATAATGAGAAATGTATACGCATTTTTTGTAGATCAGGAACAACCCAAGTGTAACAAGGTGGAAAAACAAAACAAAACAAAAAGTCAGTGATGTTTAGTCCAATGCGATATAATTAACAAGCTTTTTTTCTCTCCCCTCTAACTTGAGGGGTTAATGCAGTACCTTTTGCCTGGGCGGTGTGCTCCTCGTGTCGTCCAAAACATTACATTCAGGAACGCGTGTAAAAGGCTCACGGTCGGTCACTCCCCCGAGCCCTGCGTTCTTTGCGCAGACGCATCCACGCGCGCCACCGCCAGCTGAAAGTTCCATTCTCACGTTCCAACAGAACGCGTAGCTTCACAGCTGGATTGCTCTTCTCTTTCTTTAAGATTCTAGTGAGTTATACTGTTGTTGTGCTCCCCCTCATCAGAAAACAACCAATTGGATTCATTTCGGATTAGGAAGAAAAACGACAAGAAATAAAAACTTGAAACCTGAATGAAAACATTTTCAGCTTTTCATCATCAGTGGAGAATTTGCTGCCTGAAGTAAATGGACTATCACATGATCCTTGGAAATGCAGTTTTGAAGGGTTCTGTGGACCAAAACCATGCCGGATTGTAAATGGAATGATCTCCTTGAAGTTAACAATAAAGGTTTGCTCTTTCCCTTTTCTTGAATGAATGAATGAATCTGAGTGCAATATTTCAGCTGCGCTCCCTTACTTATTTTAAGCAAGAATTCAATTGTTACCCTTACTAAAATTAACCATGATTTTATTTTATTTTTTTGGCGTAGCCTACTGATTACAATTCATATAACGTTTTACTTCAAATACCATGGTTAAACTATGGTTAGTGTAGCAAAACCATGGTTAATTTGTGGTTACTATAGTTTAACTATAGGCTGGTTATAGTTTAACTATAGTAACCATGTTTTGTTTTTTTTTTGTAGTAAAATCATGGTTAATTTTCGTAAGGGAGATTAAAAATAAACGTGACATTTAACACCGATTTCTTTAATTCAAGTTTCACTAAATAGAGTTTCACCAAGATGTTGTTATCTTATGTATTAGAAGTCACGGGGGGAAATGTCTGACAGTATTTTGTAATATGCCGCTTCAGCTTTTGCGTCTTTCTGCAGTTTAAGGTGTTTGCTGCTGTGGAGCTGAAGATGGGTCGCTTTTATGCTCAGGTTTTGTTGATGCTGGTGATGATAGCACTGCCTGTAGTGGTACGGTGTTGCCCACGGCCATGTGCCTGCCAGCAGCCCGCAGAGGTTCACTGCACGTTCCGCTCTTTACTCACGGTGCCTGCTGGCGTGCCCAAGCAGGTGGAGCGGATGAATTTGGGGTAAGAATGACTGTGTCATCAGTTTATTATTCTTAAACATTGCTTTTTTTCTCTCTTTTCGTTTTCTGATATCAGCTTTCTTAAAAGAACACTTTAGCACACCCACTTCCAAAAGTGATTTATCTTGTAAAGATTATCAAACAGGTCATCGAAACATGCTGAAACTAGGTTTCATTTATCGTTGTTTTAAGACATTTAATCCAAGTGGGTTCATTTGTAGGTTAGTGGGAATTTCCCTTGATGATGATAAATGCCAGGGATATTTCGACCATTTTACAGGTGACCTTCAACTATTCAGAATGTTTAGGACTCTCCCAGGGAGGATTTGAGATGGTACTTTGGGGGCGACAGACTAGTTGTCACACTTTTCTTTCCATTTCTACATAAAAACGTAACTTAGTTACAAAGGTACATTTCTACTGTTATTGCACAAGACATTTAAGATGCAGTTCACGTAATTGTTGTCACGATGCAATACCTGTCACCAGTCTATTTTTAAATAATAAATAAATAAAAACAGCAAAATGATTGTTGAACAAATTAATTTAAGCAACAATTTAATATGTAAGGAACAAAATAACAAACCATAGTTTTAAACTACAAGTATTGTAAATAATAAATTATATACGTTTTTAAAATAAAAATACATATAGGACAACTTGCCCTGACTAAAAATTTATAAAAAAAATACATTTTGTTCCTGGGAACGATGTTCAAACTTTAAGTTATAATCAGCTTAGCTGACCCATGTATGTAAGTGTGGTTTTATTGTGTTCACTTGTTTACCCAACAGCAATTACAAAAATATGATATTCACCAGGTAGGGCATGACATAATTCACTTTTAAATTATTTATTTATAATAACTAGGCATTTGAAACAAATCTCCCTGGTGGAGAAAATACATATTTATGCAATTAGACATTTAACTCAAAACTGTATAGCCTTCTGAAAACAAGCTATGGTCTCCCCCATTGAAATTTATTAAATTTTTTTAAGTAAATCTGCAACATCATTGCATAATTAACCTTAATCTTATTCACCCCTTCTTATGTCCCTCCTTCATTCAGGTTTAATACTATACATAGAATAGCTTACAGCTCTTTTGCTGGGTTACGAAAACTGGAGCTTCTTTTAATGCATGGCAATGATGTGCATCAAATTCCTGATGGAACATTCCGTGACCTCATATCCCTTCAGGTACTGTCAACTTTTTCCTTTGGAAATTTATTATTTCTGTACTTTTTTTGTTGTACTACTGTTCACAATGACACTTAATATATTTATGGAACAAGTATTGCAATGAAATGACACCGAGTAAAAATGCCTCTTTCTTCGCAGATGCTGAAACTAAGCTATAATAAACTGAAGGTAATTAGCAGACAGACCTTTGTGGGTCTCTGGAGTCTCACTAGGTTGCACCTGGATCACAACAGACTTGAGTTCATCCACCCCAATGCATTCCAAGGCCTCATGTCTCTTCGCCTTCTCCAACTGGAGGGCAATCAACTTCAGCAGCTCCACCCAGCCACCTTCTCCACTTTCTCTATTCTTGGACACTTCCCAGTTTCCACCCTGAAACACCTGTACCTGTCTGATAATTTACTGACCACTTTGTCACAGAGGATGCTAGCAGGCATGCCCTACCTGGAGAATCTCTCCCTGCATGGGAACCCTTGGACCTGTGACTGTCGCATGAGGTGGTTCAAAGACTGGAATAAAAATTCACCAGGTAATTATCATAAATATTGATGATCATGTTGTCGTTAACAAACAATAGGATGTTGTATCAGTTCAGAGGGAAAAGTAGTAGAAATCATAAACAGTTATTATCATCTGCATGGGATATTTGTGATTATACTGAACTCATAATAGTAAAAATAGTTGCAGAATTGTTTCTAATGCTTATCACTTTATTTGATCTTGATGAATTTCCACTTACTGTACTTCGACCACCTCCCTTTCTTTTCCAGGAGTGCTGAAATGTAAAAAGGACAAAGCCTATCCAGATGGCCAGCTATGCCCTATGTGTTTTTCTTCAAAACATCTAAAGAAGAAACAGCTCCAGGAGTTGGAGAAGCCCACTTGCAATAGTCCCATCATCAGCACGGCTCACAGAGCCATTTCCCCAGAGGACACAGAAAGTGACCTCTTGACGATTGATGAATTTCGTCAACCCCTTGGCAACATTTCCCTGGGCCTGTCAGATGAACATGGACATCAAGTAGACTTGGAATGCCTTGTCACTGAGCCAAGAGAGCTGACTAGCATAGGCTGGGACTATGTTAACCAGTATCAAATATCAGCAAATGTGACTCTGACGTTAGATTTAAAGTGTGCAACTGACAGGTCCAGTTATGAGAGGTTGTGGAGATTGATTGCATATTACAGTGATGTTCCAGCCCACCTTCGAAGAGAAATTATGTTGAGTAAGGAAGCTTACACAAGCTTCAGATATCGGCAAGATGTTGAAAGGGATGCTCTTTACTATACAGGAGTAAAAGCTAACATAGCAGCTGACCCACCCTGGATAATGCAGTCATCAATGGACCTTCAGCTAAACAGACTTCAGTCTACAAGTAAAACTGTTCGACTAATTCTAAGCACCCATATGACTGAGGTTATGGAAAAGGAATCTATAAGAGAGCAGAGTAGGGGCTGGGTTGTAATTGAGTCCAAGAATGACACTAGAACGATGCAGGCTGCTGTCGTGAGAAGTCCTGCTGAGATAAACTGTTCCATACAAAGCTCAGGGAACGAATCAGTTAAATGGATGCTACCAGATGGCTCTACTTTAAAAACACCTTATAGCGATGGTGATAACAGGCTTTCAGCATCAAATGCTGGTCTTCTTAAAATCAAGTCTGTGGATCATTCTGATTCAGGAGTGTACTACTGTATTGCACAGGTTTCAGATGACCTTACTATCCTCCCTTTTCGCCTAACAGTGGAGGAATCCTCCAGTCCACCTCCTGGAGGTGAAGGAGTAACAGAGCCAGTTACAGGATTCACAGGTGGACCTTTTTTCCTTCCATGTGTTGCCACCGGATCCCCTGATGCTGAAATACACTGGATTCTCCCTGATGGTAGTATTATAAACAAGTGGGTAAACATTTCCAGGATATTTGTGGCTTCAAATGGATCTCTGATCATTCGACACAGTCAGCTTTCAGACAATGGATACTATAAGTGTGTAGCAGGAAATCAGCATGGGATGGATACTTTGGCCAGAAAAGTAATAATATCAAGGCCACCAGGTTTACTCCCATTAAGGAAGTACTCTAGTAGCCCTCAACCTGCTGAGGGAGTTTCAACCCAAGTCCTTGTGACAAACGACATGGAGTCTTCTGGGGATAATGAACCTGAAGAGTTTTTAGAGAAAGTGCTTCCTAGGCAAGTGGATTTACCCAATCGGCGGCGGGTCCCAAGTGTGGGAATAAGGAGAGGCCATCCATTTAGGAACTCTTGGAGACGCCCTGCCACACCAAGGAGGAGAGTAGGTAGCCCAGTAGTGGATAGGGTTAACACTGTAGAGTCAAGAAGAAACATTAGTGTGTCAAACAACCAAATAGACCCAAAGCGCTGGGCTAGCATTTTGGCGAAAGTTCGCAGTGGTGGAACTAGTTTAAAAACAACTACTCCAAACTATGTCCAGACCAGTTCAAACAAAATACAGGAGTCAGAGACTGCCTACACAAAGCAGTCAGAAATTGCTAACAAGATTGAAGGATCATCTGCAGAAGATACAACAATAGAGGGCACCAGGGCACCAGTAAAGGATGCGTTGTACTCAGTCACAATGTCACAGATGCCCACTGAGTCTACAGAGTACAACTTGGATATAAGAGCTCTGGATTCTGAGGATTCGAGACATGTTGTCTACCAGATAGCTGCTCCTGAAACAGATCCAAATTCAGATTTGTTTACAGTTAGCACATATATCACACAACCCACAGTTGGACCACAGATGACCCATTTTACTTTGGGAGATTCAGAGGTTGCAGAAGGAGTTGCAGTGAGCACTGTGTGGAGCACAGCATCATATGGAACCCATTTACAGGAAAACCAAAGCCACACAATGGATGGTGGCAGGGTAACTGAAGCAATTCAAAAGTCTGATGGCGAAGATGACGAAGAACGCAGGGTTTTGCAAAACCCTGAGCTTGTGGGAGAGGTTTATCAGGGAAGGATGGATCACAGCTTAGCATCGACCACAGCAAAAACCTTCACAGAACCAAATACAGAAACTGCTGTGTACTCTTTTACTGAAATTCTTACTACAATTAAGCAAGGACCACAGACCCTACGAAAGCACATAACTCAGAAGAAACATAATGTCTCAAAAATTCCACTGCTTCTCACCGTGACACCAACCACCAAACCCACTTCAGGACATAAAGCAACCTTCACTAATTCATTTAATGCTTCTTCCTCACATGCTAGGAACTCATCCAGTTTGAGGAGGAGGAATGGTGGAAGAGGACGAAAGTCTAATCGAATTAGAAGTAAGACAAACAGTTCTAAATCATCAGTATATGTCACAAATGTCACCCCACAGCCCACTTCAGCTTCAATTGTGGAGGTTACAAATTGGTTTTCAGTCATTACTAAGACAACTGCCTCCTCTCAAACTAAAATAGAAACATCTTCATGGGCCAAAAGTGCAGGAGCCAAAATGAATATTACTGTTCCATTAACTGACAGCCAACCACCGTCACTAGGCAAAATGACTCATGAAGAGAACACAGATCCATTATACAGTGGCAGGAATAACAAAATCCATACATCCACATCCCAAGAAAATGTATCTATGACAAAGGATAGACACTCATCTGATTCTAAGCCAGCTCAAGAACTTAAAAACACTGCAATAGTACCAGTGTCTCCATCAATATTCAGTAATTTTGGTAGAGAACAAGAAAAGGCAACTATACAGAAAGAAAACAAATCCAATTTGTCCCCCCATATTACAAATCCTCCTGTGAAGGCAGACATCCATGAGTGGTTTACAAGCATTCATACCCCTGCAGCTAAAAAGTTTGAAGAGACTCAACAGGGAAAAATTACAAGAGAGCCCAGCTCGATCCCAACATCAGACAGCTCTCATGCACAATTAGAGGAACTTCCAGGTGCAAGTCCAGATAAAACAAACAACCAATATAACCCCACAGAGACTGAAAACATTCTGTCATACAAAGAGCTTGAAGGAAGGTTTTCTGTGAGGCAATTCACTTCATCTTCCCCAAACATCCAGAAGGAATTTCTTAAAAATAATTTGGAAATCCAACATGGTTCAGCACCAGCAGCCACTACAATTTTTGAGGGGGCACAACAGAGTTCACGGGTTCCAACAGGCAGCCCCAAAATCTCTCCAGTATTAGTGCTTGCAACAACAAACCCAAGCAGGCTTCCAACTGGCAGCATTCACAACAGAGAAGATTCTTCTTTATCCATGAATCCTTGGGCTCCATCAGAAAATGCTGATCTACCTCCAGTTACAAAAGAAAACATTATTGCCACAACAACTACAACAGCTCTGAAATCTTCTACAGTACATACCCATATGTTTTACCCAAATACACCCACGTCTGCAAGCATGCTAGGTGAACTAGACAATGCTAATCACATTCCTGACAGTGACAAATACATATTTGTAACCACAGGCAAAGAAATTATTAGTAAGATAGAACTTAGCAGAACAAATAGCAGGGCAGGACCTCCAGTCACAGTTCCTTATCAATTAGCCAGTGTTTCTGAGGAAACAGTATCTCAAGAATTAGAGGTAGACATACACAAAAAGACCACTACAAAAACAGCCACGACTCAACCACTTCACTCAACTTCAACAGTATCTTCACCCAAGCAAAAACCTCCGGGTAGGCCAGGTGTTCAGGGTAGAGGAAGCTCTTTGATACATTATGCCACATCAGGAGGACCTCAACAAAGACCAACAGCAGTGCCCGAGGGTAGTGGCAAACCTTGGATCATCAGCACAGACATTATATCAGTAACAGCACATGCTGAGACTGATGCCTATTTGCCTTGTGTGGCTGTGGGGAAACCCAGTCCCTTCATTTCATGGACTAAAGTATCCACAGGTAGGAAATACATGGTTTATCATTATTTGACAATATTACAATAACGTTTTCAATCCTTTGTTGACACATGCATGTAGAAATATATTCTGTTGACTCTGAACTAACTTTGTCACTGTTTTCTTGCAGGGGCAAGTGTAACACAGAATACCAGGGTTCAAAGATTTGAGGTCTCCTCTAATGGTACACTCATAATCCACAATGTACTTCCTTTGGACCAGGGCCAGTACCTCTGCAGTGCCCAAAACCAGTATGGAGAGGATAAAATTGTGGTTAATTTAATTGTTCTGGCTGAACACCCCAGAGTGCTGCAGCCTCGCTATAGTGAAGTCACAGCATACCTTGGAGAAACTGTTCAGTTTGAGTGTCAGTCCCAAGCGCATCCTCAGCCTCGGATCACCTGGGTCCTACCAGACAGGGGAATGGTACATTCTAGTGGACCTACTCATGCCAATCCAGAAAACAATGTCTCAGTCTTACCTAATGGCACGCTTCACATGAAATCGGTTAGTCACATGTATCGAGGAATTTACAAATGCATTGCAAGCAATGCAGCGGGTGCTGATACCATATCTGTTCGGCTGACTATTGCGGCCTTGCCACCCATCATTCAGCAACCAAGACATGAGAATGTCACTCTTCCAGAGGGAAGCACTACCTACTTGAATTGCACTGCCAGGGGTGCCCCTCCGCCTTCCATTGGCTGGATTACCCCTGGTGGAATGCAGCTCCATCCATCACAGTTCATCAATGGACGTAACTTGTTTGTATTCCCAAATGGGACACTCTATGTTCATAGTCTCTTTCTGACAGATGCAGGGAGGTATGAATGCTCAGTAACCAATGTGGTTGGCACTGCACGGAGGACCATTATTTTGACTGTAGGAAAGTCCATAATATACTCAAGAGCCAAGATTACATTCTCTTCACCTCAAAAAACAGATGTGGTCTATGGAAGCAGGTTGCACCTGGACTGTATTGCATCAGGGAATCCAGAACCCAGGATCATCTGGAGGACTCCATCGAAAAAACTTGTGGATGCTCACTACAGGTAATCTAAACACTTCACTGAAGCACAGGATAGTGCATTCTGGGTTTATACACATTAGAAAAATATACACATAGCTACTGTCTTCCTTTCGTTTTCTCTCAGCATTTCTCTTGCTCCTTAAAGTATGCACTTAGACACTGTTTTCATAACTTTGCATCTTGTTTTGACTGATGAGACATGTTCCTCTTTGCATGCAAATCAAACACTCTAACTGCTCTTCTAAAAGAAGGGCACATCTGGTTATGAAATCTCAAGCATCATTTTTAATCTACATAAAAAGCAAAAATCTTCTGTTAGTAACATTTTTCATTACGGTGCTCAAATTACACATATTAAAAATATATAATAATAATAATAATAATGTATTTTGTATATTTCAGTTATGATCAAAGGATAAAAGTGTCTGCCAACGGTACACTATCCATCGTATCTGTGACAGAGAAAGATGATGGTGAATACCTCTGTGTTGTCCGCAACAAATTCGGGGATGATTTTGTGCCCTTTAAGGTCATCGTCCTGGCAAAACCTGCTAAAATTGAGCAGAAGACAGAGTCTGATAAGAAGGTGATGTATGGAGGAAACCTAAAAGTTGACTGTGTGGCCTCTGGACTACCCGACCCCAAAATCCAGTGGGCACTGCCTGATGGCACCATGATCAACAGTGTCATGAAGTCTGAACGTAATGTTGGCAGTCGAAGTCGCAGGTATGTTGTCTTCGACAATGGAACCCTCTTCTTCAATGAAGTAGGGATGCGTGAAGAGGGCCACTATACTTGTTATGCTGAGAACCAGGTTGGAAAAGATGAGATGAAAGTGCATGTAAAAGTAGTTGCAGATGTCCCTGTGATTGCTAATAAGACAAATGATGTAATCAGGGTCCTGTACGGAGAATCCATCTCTCTGCAATGCAGTGCCAAGGGTGAGCCAACTCCTCTTATATTGTGGTTTTCACCCACGAATAGAGCCATAACTTCAGGTTCAGACAAATATTTTATACACGATAATGGGACTCTAGTCATTCAGAAAGTTCAGCGATTCGATGGTGGGAACTATATATGTCTTGCCAGGAACAGTGCAGGGCAGGATCGCAAAGTGACCAGAGTAGAAATCCTTGTCTCTCCACCTGCGATTAATGGCCTCATAGGTACCACAAACTCAATGAGGGTTTCTAGTGTGGGAGATCAGCGGAAACTGATTGACTGTGAAACCACTGGTACCCCTGTTCCACGTGTCATGTGGGTTCTTCCAGAAAATGTTGTACTCCCTGCACCATATTATGGCAGTCGATTGACAGTACATCGCAATGGCACTTTGGATATCCGTTCAGTGAGAATGACCGATGCAGGCCAGTTAGCCTGCGTTGCTCGTAATGAGGGAGGCGAAACAAGGCTTGTTGTTCAGCTTGGTGTAACAGATATTTTAGAGAAGCCAAAACTTAAGAGTCCTAAAATGGAGTCACTCTTACTGACTGTAGGCAGGACCATTAATCTTAACTGTTCAATTGATGGGTCACCAACCCCACAGCTGACTTGGATCCTTCTAAATGGCTCTCCACTACAGAGTGGTGCACAATTCAGTAAATTCCTCCACAAGTCCGATGGAACTTTGGTCATTAGTAATCCTGCTCTCTCAGAAGCAGGCACATATCGTTGTTTGGGACGCAATGCTGCTGGAATGGTTGAAAGAACTGTTACATTAATGCCAGGACACAAGCCAGAAATCAATAACAGGTATAACTCACCTGTTAGTATCATGAATGGGCAGAGTTTACATCTGCACTGCTTGACAAACACTGACTCTGTCCGCCTCGCCTGGACCCTGCCGAGCGGGATGGTCTTAAACCGACCTCAAAGAGCAGGTCGTTATGCTGTCCTACCCAATGGAACCCTTTCAATCCAACAAGCCTCTGTCCATGACAGAGGCTCATACACCTGCAGGGCCTCAAATGAATATGGAAGCTCCCTACTAACTGCCCCAGTCATCATCATTGCATATCCACCCCGCATTACAAGTGGTCCAGCTCCTGCCACCAATGCTAAAAGAGGAGTAGCAGTACAACTCAACTGTGGGGCCATGAGTATTCCCAAAGCAGAAGTTGCATGGGAGACCCCAGACCGAACACGGCTTATTGTCAGCCCCCAGCCACGGCTGATTGGGAACAAGTACCTCCATCCTCAGGGTTCCTTAATCATTCAGAATCCTACAATAAGAGATACTGGATTATACAGATGCACAGCCAGAAATGTGGTAGGGGTTGACACAAAAAGTACATACCTTTATGTGTACTAAGAAACACAAGAGATCTACTCTTCATATGCCCAAGGAACTGCGACGTTGAGCTGTAACACAGCTTAATAGCAATAGCATTTGCCAATGTGAAATATAGAAAGGAATCAGCCCAAAGCAAATACATTACATATTTTATTAAAGTTTGCAAGTAAACCATTGTGAAATGTAAAAAGGTACCATCCTTCAAAAGCTTGGAATGTATTTCATGTAATGTAACCAACCTACTGATATTACAAGGCATCTTTCTGCTTTTACTGTTTGACAATGACAGTTTATGTCTAAATGTATAGATGAAATAAAAGATATATATTTGTAGCCATGAAGAAAAATATAAATGATATATTCTGACTCCCAAAGCCAATAATTCAGAATATTTCATAAATCAGGGATAAAATTATTTTAATAATGCATCAAGTAAAGAAAAAAAAAATCTAATTATTCAAATCATTCATACACGTTTTTTGAATGAATCACGTACCAAAAATATTTTTTTCCCAGTATTAAATACACAGATTCTCAGCTTTCAAGAATTACTATCAAATCAGATACAAAGTTGCCTACAATAGCTTTCTCATATATATTTTTTAATCTGCATAGATCTGTTTTTAAAAATGTCATACCTTTCAGTTGTAACACTTATAAATTATTTGTTCTTTGAAAACTAATGTATTTCTATTTGCATATTTTTAATAAAGATGTAAAAAAAAAAAAAAAAAGTTTGATGTCAGCCATTCCGATACAGACAATTTTAACAAGCTATAAAAAATTATCTGTCAGGTATTTTGAGCTAAAACGTAACATACACACTCTGGGGACATCAGAGACTTATTTTACATTTTGTTAAAAGGGGCATAATAGGTCACCTGCGAATCACTACTGAGCATGCAAAAAAAATGAAAAAAAAAAAAAAAAAAGTTTGATGTCAGCCATTCCGATACAGATAACACAGATTCTACATGTGGAACAATGCCCTTCTGCGCTTTAGAGAAATGGGTTAGAAATCAGAGGCAAAGGTTTTGTCAGGAGAGTGATGAAAAGAGAATTTCCTCTGGGGGAGTTATTGCACTGTAATGAGAATGTGTTACAGAGAAATAAAACATCAGAGATTCAAGGGGGTGATTCCTTTTTAGATTGTATGTTTACAACAAGCACCATCTTGGTCCATTATCCTGCCTTTGGGTGGACGTCCCATAAAAATATGATGATTTTAACAATCTGCATAAACAAAGGCCATCAAAGGCTTTTGCAATCTGCTATTAAATATAAATATGTATATGTATATTCTTCAAATACAACATTTGTGCCTAACAATATGAAGCAACATGATGGTATTTTTTTAATATGATCACTCTCTAGCCTCTGCTCACTATGTGGTACACCTATGTTTGTTACCATGCATAGCGTTCATCAAATTCACACTTAGTCACACTTACTAACTACAGCAGAATTATTCATATTGAAGTAACACAAAACTGTGTGGAAAGCAGGAAAAACTGTTGATCCCAACAACAAAACCACAGAACGTGGAAGAGGTCAAATAATCCTTATTGGATTCACTCATGAGTCTGAAACACGTTATGGCAGCACTGTTTACTTCGCTTCGTGGTACATGGGTATGTACCAGACCGTGAGACACAGCACAGGCAATCTTTCAGATTGCTAAACTGTTAAAAATAGTGAAAGCGTTTTTGTCCAGTGCCATATGTTGATGGACACAAAAGTACGGTTAAAATACACATTTAGAGTTCACTTAGATCTCTCTTGTGCTCAGTTTAGAACACATGAAGAGAGAGAGAGAGAGAGAGAGAGAGAGAGAGAGAGATCTTTCAGAAGGGAGGACCTCAATATACTGAGAATGGCATGATTTATTGAACCAAATCAAATTAAAGATGCTCTCTAATTGACTGAGTAACATAAGCATAAATAGTTCATGACTTCAAAGAGCTATCGTGTTAACAAGGCAGAGCCAGAGGGTAATAAATGGATCTAATATTAAAACATGTGGAACAGGGGTTTAAAAACAAGGTTCCATCATAGAACTGACTTTGACTTTGTCTGGCCTCTAAGTTTGCTTACTATAAAAGTTTGTGGTGTCTGGCAGATAACATTTGGAGACAGGGTTGTGTTAATCATCTCTGGAGAGAGACAAATATGTTTTATAAAACTCTGAGGTATAATACCTTTATGATTGTATTTCATCGTCTTTTGAAACATTTTCCAACTCAGACTGTTATTCTCTGCCAGTGGAGTTTGTGGAGGTGTTAAAGCTAGAGTGTTTATAGACTGACCTCTAGTGGCAAAAAATGGCAATTTTGCTGTTGGGCACTGCAAAGAAAGACTTGTTGAAGACCATTGTTTGTTAGGCGCATTTCCTCTTGGTTGAAGGATTTGTTACATGATTTTTGTTGGACATTGACAATAAATACTAAATCATTCTCTCAGTTCTTTTCTCATGATTTAATAATCATTGATTAATACTTAAATAACTGATTTGAAACAGTAAGTCAAAATGTCTCCCTTAACAGCTATAGAGCATATTTACAGTAAATTCTTTAAGAAAACTGCAAACAAAATATCACAGCAAAGGCTAAATCATACAGATAGATCTTATCACGTGTAGGTTCATAATACACAAACTGAATTACTAGCTTTTTACATCTAGATGTTTACATTTATATGAGACCTTTTTCAGAGTATTTTTGATATGATCCAGTGATTGTGGCAAATACACAACAGAGGAGAAAAAAAACAGCTATATTTGAGGAGGGGGAAATGTAACAGTTGTGATGATGACGGATATACTGTACAAACAAAACTATATAGAGATAGTGTTTTATATAATCTCATAAACACATGCATCACATACACACACAATTAATCAAGGAACTGGTCAAGTTTCCTCATGATGTTGTTAAAGGCGTCTTTACCCATATAATCAGCACGACCTTCCTCCCACATGCGTCGATGCTCCAGGTCATCCACCTCTGTCTCAGCAGCAGCCTGCAATTTAAGGAATCATATGAAAAAAATCTATCTTTAATAACAATATTGCTATCAAAATCATAATGATATGTAGTTCTGGGGGAGGGGGGGGGGGGGGG